TACCCATCTCCACCGCTACCCGCAACCTCCAACCCATCAGCGCCGACATAGCTCCCACCTGTCAGCCCGGCTTGGGTCCAAAAAGCCCACTTCGACATGGCGCTCTGCTGCGGAGACATGCCGGTCAACCTCTCCACCGTTCCCCACACCTCACGATCCAGCACCCGGACCCGTTCCTCGGGCCCGTCCCCACCCCGCACAACCCTCACCACATCCGCCATCTCCTCCACTCCCACCTCCTCTGCTGTCGCCAGCATCCGAAACGCCCTTGTATTCCCCAACTTCCGACTCACCGCTGCGACCGGACTTGAGCACGGCAAGCCCAGGCCCGCGCCCGGCAGCCGAAACCGCACCAAATCCGCATGTGCAATCGGCAAATCGGTTGTCAGCGCAAGCTGACACCCAGCTGCAATAGCCAATCCTGAGATCCGGCCAACGACGAGCGCGGGGCTGCGCCGGATCAGCGACATGACTTCGGCGCAGAGCCGGAAGGTTTCGGATACTTGCGCCGGGGCCAGGGCTCGCAACTCGCGCAGGTCATGACCGGAGGAAAATACAGGGCCGTCGGAGGCGAGGACGAGGACGGAGGGGAGTCCGGCGCGCTCGGCGGCAAAGGCGCGGGAGGAGATTAGCCAGCTGTAGTCGTCATGCTCGGGCGGTGCCGATGTGAGTTTTGCATGCGACTGCTCGAGCGTAGAGAGATGGGATGGCTTGAAGGGGGGCAGGAACAGCGCCCGGCCGGTCGTCGGGTTAGTGTTGTGCTTGATAATCTGATCCCTGAGGGACCGGAGCTCGGACAGGGAGAGGGCGTTCCGTCGCAGTGGAGCGTTGAGCGTAATGTAAGCGGCGCGACGCGGAAGGGCGGGGAGAGACATGGACATGAACTCAAACGGCCGTCAAAGGGCCTAAAAATGCTGTGATGACGTTGGATGCCCGTTTTTGACAACCGGGGTTTATGGATGTTACACAGCCGGGAGTTAAAAATGACAGCGACGCCCTTCGAGAATGAACTATTGTTGGGCGTTCCAGAATCCAGGCTAATGATTACCGAGAAGCCGGGGGACCGGGAACTGCACAGGCCAACCCCAACAACCCCGCCATTCCGGACGACACCGAATGAGACCCACCAAACAGACCACGGAGCAAAAGCACATAATAGTTATCTGTCGTGTAGCTCAATCGGGTATTTGAAAGGTGTAAGTAGATATGTGGTTCGATATCTGGTGCCGGGAAATGTCTTTTTATGTCTTTACATAGTTTCCTTTATTGTACTGACTTACTTGAGTCCTGATAGTGATGGAGAAAAAAGGTATTTACATCTGCTAGCCGATTTCAGGGGTTGTAAGCATAAAAACCCTAACCCTGTTCTGTTGCCCCTGAGTCCTCTCCCATACAAACCTTGTGCGAATATCGTATTTAGTTTACCAAGATGCCGGGCAGATGGCTCTGGTTAGAGGAGAGGTATACCGCCCAGTGGATTAACGTCTGCTCAACCAGAGTTCAGAGCACTGGCTGCACTGCCATCTCCTTATCAGCCCGCCATGCCCACGTACTCACAAGCCACTGACTACTATGGGCTCGGCTCCACGTCCGCTGTAACGCCCATTTTATACCCATGAGACAACATACTGATGAGGGACGGCGATGGAGGCAGGACTTTCACCACGGGCGCCATGATCAGTTCATCACCAAGCCGCCCTGCTCCAGGCCGAGCTGATGCCAGGCCTTGTTTTGGATGACGTTAGGCCAAGTCGGCTCCTCCTCATACCCAATTGCCGTGTTCCCGAAGCTGGAAGGCAAATGTATACCCAAGACGAATTTAAGGGGTTTATGACGACGCCGACCCTCAAATTGTGTCGTGATTGATTACAGCACGGCTAGGCGCGCAAGCAAAGAGAAATAGGACAGCGGGTAACAACGAGTTACTCAAATCCTCGCCCCTGATACCATATCCTGCTCCAATAGAATGCCAGCCCCAAAGCCCACAGTCCAGCCAGGATTAACGCTAGCCAAGGCGTAAACGTTGCTCCACGAAGAACCACAAACCCGCTCACCAGTGCAAAGGTGATGGGTATCAAAACGGAGGGCTTGTAAGGCCTCTCAAGATTCGGTTCACGGTACCGTAGAATTATGGCACCGAGAACGGTAAGGAAGAAGAAGGTGTACTCTCCCAGGCCGCTAAAGGTGAGAAGAGCGCGGAAGTTTCCGAGCAGGACGTACAAGGCCGAGAGAATCGTGGATAGAATGATGGCGTTTATAGGCGCGTCGGAATCGGATATCTTCTGACGGCCCACTGGTGAGCTCTCTTGCTCTGTACCAACGCGGCCGACCACGGTGAAGATCCGCGGAAGCCAGTTCTGGCCCACGGCAGCAACGGTCATGCGACCGGCAACGAAGGAGCTTGTGAGAAGTGAGCCTGCAACAACCAGGCATATGAATATGGCCGCCATGACGCCGAAGGCTGGGCCGAGAAGCTGGGTGATGGCAGTCTAGGCAAATTCGTTAACAATAGGCGTGACTATGAAGGCGCAGCGTAAAGGACCTACCACTGCCACGCTATCTGTTGTCGAAACCACGTCCCATGGCAACAGGATGTAATAGGCGGCATTTGCGGTGATGAAGCAGATGATGATGGAGGGGAGGGAGGTGTTGATCGCAAGTGGCAACTGACGGGCCGGGGCCGAAAGCTCTGCCGAGATATAGATGGGCTGCATTGTGGTCAGCATGGCTAAGCCGTGGCGAGAGGAGAGGCTGTCTCGTTTACCTTGTCCCATCCAGAATACGCCCACAAGGCCGCATAGAGAGCAGCTGAAAGGTGTCCGAACATGTCCCACTGGCTCATCCCTGCCCAGTGTGTGATGGCCCCGCCAGGGCTGATGCTGTCCCTATACCCAAACCACGGCTTCTTAGCCCAGTCGCGTCCGCCGACCTCCCTATTTGGGTCGACCAGCTGGAGGATGACCACGACGACGCCGGCCAGTACGACGGCAGCTATCATGGTAAACTTGGTTGCGACGAAGAAGTTGTTGAGCCGCGTGCTTGTCTTGGTGCTGATGGAGTTGGCCAGACCGATGACGACCAAAACCGCGATGGACAGTAGCTTGTGCTCGATCCCGTCACCCTGGCCCGTGACACCCAAGGCGGAGTAGATGCTCTCGACGAAGACGATGCTCATGATGGCCAGCGCTGCGGGGATCATGGCAACCACCCAGGTCCAAGCGGCTAAGAAGCCGGCGACATCCCCGTAGATGTACTTTAGGTAGGGCTGGACCCCGCCTGCAGCACCGTCAGCAACCGCGCTTCATCTCGGCGCATACCGCCCCCCGCCGGTTGACCAACCTTCCCCTGGAATCGCCGTGCCGAGCTCGGCCATAGTACTGGCCCCTGTCCAGGCCAGGACTCCGCCAACGAGCCAGACCAAGAGCCCGACGCCCGGCGACGGCACATTCGTGTCGATGGGCCCAGGCGAGGTGAAGACGCCGCTGCCGATGACGATGCTGATGACGATGGCAAACGCCTCGACCGTGCCGAGGTTGCGCCTAAATGTCCCCCGGGCACCGCCAACAGCCGTCTCCTCGCCATCCTCAGGGCCGGGCCCGGCACCAGCTAACAGCGGCTGTCGCTCGGCAGTCGCGGCGTCTGCGTTGCCATTCCCATCTCGACCGTGCAGGCGCCCCTCATCCGCAACCGGCATTTCCCTCAGCAGTCTTTGGTCCTTCTCCCCAGTCTTCAATCGCAATTGCAATGCTGGTTCGGGCGGAAGCGGCGGGGTAGAGAGTGCGACGTGCTGCGCGAGGAAATCGCGCGAAAAGAACGACGCTGGTGAGCATGAGCCAGGTGGTCCTCACTGCGGGCCCGGCGGGGCTTGGCGGTGGAAACCGGAAATATCGCCGCGAGCTTCCATCTTGAGCATCGATCAATCAGATTAGATCAAAACATCCGCGCTGCAAGGGTCCCCCTGTAGGTTCAGAGACTGCATACGGATACATAACTTACCATACCGCAGCGTGTACCCGCACCTTCACCTTTCGCCGCGATCCTCCTGTCTCTAGAAACCCCTGTCCGCTGCCGACGACGTAGTAGTCAGGAAGTCAATTCGCATCATGTAAGCTAAACAGCGAGTGGACTTTAACCTGATTTCTCATGATGAAGGACAGGTTGTGGTGTTTGTGCTAGGTGCATCATGCATCTGGTTCCGTCATTTGTTGGTTACCTCCAGTGCTCGAAAGGGGAAGGGTAAAGTCTTCCGAGTTTTGACAGTTGGGAACCTCGGCGGTTCGACGAGATCCTTTGCCCCATGCGGATGTTCTAATAGTTCGCGGGACTTGAGAACTTGGTATTTGTGCTCGCCGCCAAGAGATGACTTGGTATGCATGTGCAGAACAAATCGCGGCTTCCGTCTTGGCCAGAGGCAAAGTCTATCGAAACGGCAACCACGTCTCAAGACGCTTTACACAAGAGGTTTGGCGTCATCGGTGTCCGATAGTCGGAGGTATAAACCCCCCCTCTTCTTGGTAAACTCAAAGCCAATCTATTTGCTCAACTGGTGCAACTATTTCCATTCCGTCAACAACCACCACAGCCCCAATTCTCCATTCTTGAGGGAATACGAAATTAAATAAGTGGGAATTGTTCGCATTACCAGCCGCATCGTTGCTCCGATACAACTGCTTCTCATTCTTTACGTTGGCAGCATGCGGGATTGTCACCCGGGTCATGGCCGCCGTCCTGCGACTGCAGCCCAAGTTTCACGGAGGGGAATGCGAAACACAATCCAACGCTAAAAGAGAATTAAAATGTACAAACAGTAGCGTATTCCGTTGCCTCAGAAGCGGGAACGATAGATCCCAGCTAGCGATGCCAGATCATATAGCCTTGCGTGAGGGTTGCGCAGGGTGCTCCCATACATGAGGTCGGAGGAGAAAATCCGACGCAAAACCCATCGGCAGGAAAACACCAAAAGGATAAAATGAAATATCCATCAGCCTCTGAATACCAAGCGCCCATGGCGAGACTCGAACTCGCAACATTCAGATTAAAAGTCTGACGCGCTAACCAATTGCGCCACACGGGCTTTGTTTTGAGGGAGTGATGACAGGGTATGCATAACATGCTCTGTAAGCTCACCCATATCGTATTACTTGGGGCTTAGTCAATGGTCACCTTTGACCAACAAATGCTTTCTTGAATGTTCCCTTCGCTGCATCACCGGCCCACTGCATGCGGGTGGGTGTGGAATCTGTGGATGCACCTGCGCTGGGTGACTGCAAGAGACCCGGACATGCCGCAGGCGATGGAATGGGAGCTTGCGGTTGCAGTGTAACTATCATGGAGCTTCTTCAAAGCTGACTGTTGGCAAATGATTCCATCATTCCGGGCGCCCCAGCCTGCTCCGTTACATAGGCGGTTGGACAGGTAAGCGGGAGGAGGAATGCACATCCATCCCGTCGGCAACAATGCAATAGGCATGAATTGATCGGCAGGCAAGGCTGCTGTTGGCCCGAATCCCAGCCTGGACCCGCTGACGTCAGTTCGGAGGCGAGAGACGGGAGGCGGAAGACATGGCAGGTCCCATGAACCGCGGCGCAGACTTCCCCGAACGCTGAGACGCTGTGGCAAAAGGGACGTTCGCACCCGACTCAGAGCTTGCGGTCGTCCGATCCTGTCAGCAAACAGGCAAGCACCGGGCTGCTTGTTGTCGTCTTGGCAAGTTGCTGCACATGCTTCCTATTTACAACCCTGCCTGAAAGCGGGCAACGATGGTTGCGGCTGAGGGCCAACTCCATCCACACCCCATTAAGAAAAGAGCAGTCCTTCCGTTCGACGCCTGTAATGTAGTAGCGCAAATGCTTTCCCTCCGGAATCCCGCTCGCTGAGTTCCATCGTTCGCCCGAGATATCCCGCTGTCCTGCCCATTGAAGCCGCGCCAAGGTGGATGTTCTGTGCTCCAAACCCCGCCGATGCGAGTTGCGCAGTGGTATAAGCGCTCCTGTCAGTATCAACTCTGCTTGCGCGCACTATAAACTCCAGTCTCGCATCCCCGGTGCAACTGCGACGAGTAAGAAAATGCGTCGGACTCCTGCGTTCAGAAGAGCCCTACGTTGGTGGTCCAGGGGGCTCCGTGCCAATCGACGCAACCAGCATCAAACTCCAAGGCTGATGGTCTTTGGTCATCACCCGCTAGAGCCTCCCCCACCCCCCTCTCCCGTCGTTTCCTCGGGTGTGATGGGTGAAATAGTATCGGCGGCGGTGCGATGGTCCCGCAAACTCCCGGTTGTGTGTTGGAGCTTCGGTTCCTTCAATGCGGTCGACGAGGGCCCATGATCGGTTACCATACCCTCGATCCCTTGCGTCCGTTTGTATCCGACCTTCCATCTAACACCGTTCCCTCCACCATCCCACCCCCACCTCCCCAAGAACCAGCATGACATGCATCTGGGGTGTCACTTCTTGGCTCGGCTGCTGGATGCCGTGATCTTGCTCGTAGTCATCAAGTCTCCGATGTACTTTTGTAGAAACTTGTTGTGGTTGTCGAGCTTGTCGTGCTCTTCCTTCACCGCTTCTATGCGATTGAAGAGCATAACAAGCGAGTCTTGCAGCGCTCTGGCATGTCTGGCCAGAGTTAGCTGGCCATATCCTCATTCCCTCGCTGTCCCTCGGGTGTATCTGGCAGGCGGTGACCGCTCGATCGGCTCGAACTCACCTTTGCAACTCCTCTTTCGCCTCCTTGCCCAGGTTCTCGATATCCTCACTTGTTCTCCTGGGGCTCATGGCCCTCGCATCGTTTGACCCGAGGTGCAGCTCTATCGGGCCCACGTCGTCTGAGTCGCGGGGTACGATCATTGTGCCGCTGCTCTTGCGACTCGGCAGTGGTGGACGCACGGGGATCGGCGCCTGTATCGGTTGGTCGAGTGACGTCCCTGAACATGAATCTGACCAGTCTGGACTTGTTGCTTTGTGCAGACTCGTGGTGTCTTCCATTATGGATTCGTGTTGGTGTGGTGTAGATGCGGCGGGACCGGTCGGTCGATTAAGCCTTTAGACGGGCACGTGAACTATTTGTTGGTAAAGAGCAAGTGCTGGTGTGAATATCATGTGCGCAAATATCCAGTTTCTCCTTTCGCCGTCAACCCAGCAAGGCGATTGTCGCCACCATCCGTCGCTCGGTGAGGCGCAGGGACTGAGACCGTTTGTGGACGTGTATAGTCGGTGTTGCGGGTCGCGGTCGCGGGCGGAAGGGGAGCTTCGGACAGTTGCGGGAGAAGGAGGAGGCAGGGTGCAAATCTGGGAGCGGAAACTCTGAGGGGTAGCGCAAAAGACGAGGCGGTGGTGGCCCGTGAGTGATGGGTCAGGGTCGCGGGTTTTCGTCGTTAGAGTCGTGGGGCTGGCAGGGGCCACGGCCAGCACAAGTCGAGGGACTTCAGTCACCCAATGGGCAAAACGGACAGTTTACGGAGCACGCCGACCAGTGAACGGGAGGCGCCACGGAATCCCAGGGATTCCGACAGAGGGACAGCACCGGCAGGTGGAGATCTTGGGCAGTCGACGGGGGCTGGTTCGCTGGTCAGGAGGTGGTTCACAATGACCTGTTTCCGCTGCCGCGATCAGCAAGCTGTGCCTTGCTGCACACGGTGGGTGACTGGTTGCGAAGAGCACCCGTCGGTGTGGTAACAGGAGGTGGAGGACCGGGACTTGTTTTGGGATGCTTTCTGCGGAAAACGGGATGTCGATCGGCGGAAGGCGCAAAAGTCCGCAGCACGCAGCACAGGCGCAACCTTGTGGAATACAGTGTAATGTATACGTAAACGTCGATTCGAAGCGAGGAAGAAGCCAAAGAAGAATTATTCTGAAACATCAACTGCGATGAAGCGCTGCGGGATCAGTCATGTTCGGGTTTAGCGTTCACGATCGGGTCGGGCACCGCCGCAGTACCGGAAGGCGTTATTCCCGAATGTCTCGTTTCTCTGCACGTCTGCGCCAGGGGATGGCTGCCTCAGGCTCGAGTCACTCGCACGTGTGCATCCTCGCGCAGGGGTTCCACCAGGTCAAGGCCACCGGATACAGCGAGAGCAGCCTATGATCGGCACCATGACGCCAGAGTGTGCTGTGTTGATTGGTTCCCTGGAGCGGGTCTGCACAGGACCCCGGAAATGCAAATGGGCGACAGGGGTTCAGGCATCATGTTGCCGATGATGGCAAATCGGGGGAGATTCCCAGCAAAAATAGCGATGCGCCGCGAAACTGGAATGCGTCTACTGCGGCACTAATGCCAAAATCCACAAAACCCACCGACAGCACACCAATTGAAGGCACCGCTAGTCTGCCTCTTGACTTCAATGTTCTGCTCGGCAGACTGCAAGTTGCTCCAATTCGTGGGATTTTGTGGATCCTGGCATTAGTGCGGCAGTAGGCAAATCCCAGTTTCGCGAGATTCTACGGTACACCACGTTTCGGCGCTGCGCGCTGCACACAGTGCATTCTTTCCCGCTTCCCCAACCTTTGCATCGAAAACATGTGCATCTAAATTGAACATTCCCAACCGGAACCGGAATACGGCCATGAAACCGGTATATAGCCTTGCGCATTCCAAACCGTCCGAGTCCATTGGCCATCAGGCTGCACAAGGTGTCGCTGGCGGGCGCATGCTGCCTCAGTAACACAAGCCGTGCCACCTGAATGGATGGGTCGAGAAAAACCCGCGGCGGTGGATGACCAAGCTGCAGCCCTGGCGTTCCCTAATTTGGCATAGTGGTAGGTATCTACCCCGCTACTACCAGCGAATAAGAAACGTCGAAGATGCAACTATTGAACTGGAGGAGTTATCCACACTGTGTCTTAGGGCAGTCGAAATACGGATATTCAGACCAACAACCTGCGACACCCCATCATGAGACGGAAAGCCGCTGTGGGTGTTTGATGGATGGTGTATATCTATATTCACGTGTCGCGGAGAGTTCTGAGAATCCAGAGGACAAGGTTGGTCGTCAGGGGTCCGAAAGCCAAGTTCGGCCTCCCCCTGGCAAAGGCTATGTCATAAGTAAGCCTATATATGTATGTCATCACGTTCCTCCCGCTTCTTGACCGTTTCGCCCCGGGCGCTGACCTGACTTGTCTCGGTAGGGCGACCGGTGAAACAAAACCTTGCATCGGTTCAGAGACTTCTAGTGCAATGACGACCAGACGGACAGACCCTGATTCAGATGTCTTGGCCATGCAAGACGTTGTCGGGACCGCAAAACCAACCACCAAAATTGACCATGGCAAACACCTTGGAAGTCGGAATCAATGCAGTCGGGTATTGGTTGCGCACTTCCGGTCGACAGTTGTGCGATCGTCAGCGCAGAAGTGTTGAGCTCACCGCCTACAAGGAACATTTTCCCGCGCCCTGGGGAACAGATGGTCCCCAATGCCGGCCGCGGGATACCATCATTCCATCATGGAGGTATGTTGGCTCGTTGGCTCGCCAGTGGCGCGAAGGTGGTCACTGCCGACCCCGTTTGGTCCCCCGTTTGCTCAGTACGGAAGACAATGGGATTCTTCTCTTCCTGCCCCCCAGCGGATGCATGAGTCGCACTGTGCCGACCAGATGTCGATCACCTCCTCGGCCGACATACCCGGGGCTAATCTCAGCGAATCACGGGTTGCGCCGTGTCACCTGCCGGACTTGCGTTTTCTGCTCGCAAAAATCAAACTTGGACCCCAAACCCGTCTCCCAGTTCTCCTGTTTGTACAACGTCAATCTAGCGGTGGACTTGTTGCTGCTCGACAGAACCCAGCAAATGCGAATTTATGTATGTACTACAGATACTCTCAGCGGGTCGAACGACCCTTCAGAATTTTCCAACCAAGTCGCGCCGTCCCGGTTCTCCTGGCGCAGGAAGTCATACATACCGGCCCCATGTGTCCTCTGAAGAAGCCTCCTCCATTAACCAGTAGGCACCCAGGCACGCAACATTAATCCTGTCGAGGGCCTTCGGAACTCGGCACCTGTCGGCTGCCAAGACGTCCACTAACCGCTGAGCCACATGGGAATTAACGCCGTGCTGGAAAACGGCATGAGGCTACCTTACAATC